CCAACTTATTATATTAATATCAATATTAATATTTAATATTCATTTTTGCTTCCTTCTTCCTCCCCATTATGTGCATTGTAATACGTTTTAGATTATGTAATATCTGTTTAATAACACTTGAAAGATTATGTGAGAGGTCTACTTCTTAACTATAGATGTTGCTGCTCAGTTAAAACTAACAAGAGAAGCCATGTATTTACCATCCAAAACAATCAGAAATTAATACAAGAATTAAACTGCAAAGCAAATAGCATCTTAATGCATTGATGCACCAAAGTTAAATTATCCATTAAGCTTTAGAGGAATAATTTCTTGTACTTTTGCGAATTACTGGCAAGGCAAACAAATAGAAAAGTATTGCTGATTGAATTTGTTAAAGCTCTGAATCACCACATTTAAATGTTCCATCTGCAGTGATGCATTAAAAGGATCTGCTTTACTGGTTCAACAGACACCATTCTGAATAGGTTTTCTTCCTTATTTAATCAGATGTCGCTGTTTTGGTTCTCATTGCCGTCTTAGCTTCTAGTCCCTTCGGACCTTGAGGTCACTTTTATTCCTTACTTTATAGCTACTTTTCTTTTAAAACATAGTTTTTACATTTGGACCCCATATAGACAGACTAAAATGCTCACCTGGTGAACCTGAGAAGAAATTGCACAGGGGCACCATTAGTGTTGTTTACTCTGTATATAAAACAGTGATATAGAGCAGATAAGTGGTTGAAAAAGATGGAGTAAAAACCCCACCCTAGTAAACAATGCCCTCTAAGCTGATCATTATCTCTTGATTTCTGCAAATTGTGTAGGATACTTCAGCACCATTGCAGGATGAAATATAGCTGTGTTTTCAGCTGAGGTGGTTGTATTATACAGGTCTCTATGTAACTCGATCCCACCAGATGACAGGTGCTCTATTGACATGTGTTAAGTGAAAGAGAAGAGGGGTTGAAAGAGGGATGGACAGGTTGGAGGAAAGGGAAACTAAAACAAATTTCTGTATCATCTGTTGTTTGCCTATAAAAGTTTTTTTTCTCTGCAGAATTACATGATTAATCAAATATATTTTGATTATATATAAATATATTTAGATTTTTTTATATATTTTTTAAATTCACATCATTAAACAAACATTTAAGGAATCAGTTTTTGTTCGTAACAGGTATTATAATTCATGAATAATGAAAGAGAGATATTAAATATAAAAATTCCAAGCTGAGGTGATTGGGTTTTGTTATCGCACTGTGGCTGGACAGTTACAGTTTTTTTTGTTTTCCCTCTCGGGTCAGGTTTATGTGGCTCTTGCGTTTAGATGATCTAATTAACTATGAGTTGAATTACTTTGGATGGGGGTATTTGTTTTCTTGGCATCGTGTGGGCAGAGCGTCTTAGCGTCTAAGCTGCTGCTTAGTTCAAATCATCAGGGGTAGCCCATAAATGTTTGTATTTTAGCATAGACCAGATCTTTTTCTTTTTTTTTTCATTTATTGACAATCAGAATTTTATACAATATTAGCAGAGATAAATCAAAGATTTTAAACTGTCAACATTCAACTTGAATGAATGAACTGGCAGGGTTTCTTTATTACCATCAATGTTTGATAGTTGGATGTGCAACAAAATATTTTTGTTGTGTTTGTGTTCGGTTTGTTCACAAAAGATTCTCAGCAAACAATTATTTGGGAGAAATGTCCTGAACAGGAAGAAGGGTCCCTAATCCAAAGCTCCATTCACGCTAACCGAGATAACTGTTGAATGTAAATGGAATGCAACTGAACTGGACCATGCCAGACACATCTGAACCGCGTTAAATCTGTCAGGCCTATGCCCGATTTACACTAGCCCTCTGAAACTGATTCATGTTGAGTTCGGTCCGGGCTTGGATCAGTTAACCGTGCAGAGCTTGGTTCTTACGACCATTTACACATCACACTAGCACAGTTGCTCGCCTATTGTTGGCTGTCCACAATACTACATCTCTCAAGATGGAAATTACGCAAACAAAAATGGCGGCACCCATAACATTCAGGAACTTATGTGCCTGGATAGCGTCCTCAGCAACATCCCAGGTTGCACCACGCTGTTCTGATGCCATTCATTGTTAATCACCCGAGAACAAGTTTGTGTCATGAACAGGTGAAGAGATCTTTGCAATGCATGATTCATCTGACTCTAAATAGATGATGCGATCTGCTCATGTGCTCTTTGTTATCTGAACCGAGCCACATCTGAACCGTTCCGAGCCCTACGGTTGAACGGTTTCAGAGGGACAGTGCAAAAGGGGCAAAACTCCCTTCAAGGGCCCATGGAACCTTGGGGCATTCCTACATGTCTGGACTTTTTGGAAGGCTTTATGAGTGCTCTATTGAAACAGTGAGTCTGTTTATTACTTTCGGTGGTGAGGCACCACATAATTTTCAAGGTAACTTATTGAGTGCTAATATTTTCCTCTGCATTGCCTCTGGGGGGTGGTATTAGGTCATTAACTCGCTAGTTGTGTGCACTGTACACTCTGGTTGCTTTGAGGCTGGATGTTGGGAATTTGACTAATGTTGGTGGGTCTTTGTTGGTGACTTCCTCTACAGATGTTGGGGTCTATATTGGAAAGACAACTGCACTGTAGCCTAATGGGTGCACTGGTCCTGGTTCATGGGGTGCCTTTCAGACAGATTTTTGGAACTGTTCAGTTTCAGTATATGGGCAGCTAAGTGATGAGCCTTTTGATCCTGGACTTACCTGGGATCTGAAGTGAGTTGTAGATGGGGTACTAGTGGGGGCAGGGTGTGTGATGCAATGGTTACATGGAAGCTGGTGACTCATTCAATGTTATGTTTGTTTCTTTGTCTTTTTTGTGTTTTTTTTTTTTTTATATAATTGTTATGGACTGTTTTCTTTGTCAGAGTTATATTAGGATTATTGTTTCTACTGGCAAATTTTGCCCCAATACTGTACCTATGGGCACAAAACGAATGGTTATGTGTTTATATGTTGTCAAGACAGAGCAAGTGGTAAATAAACATCTTCTCATGGTTGTTTTCTTTATTGAGTTATCATCTTTATGTTTTTATAAAGATCTGATATGAAAAGGGTTCCTTGTAAAGTAGCCTTTCACAACTTGACACCAAACCAGATCATTTCATGAGTTAAGTAGCCTTTGAATTTAGAAATTATGAAAATATCACTTGGTGTTACAAAGTGAAGTAAGGATTTTTTATTTAGAAATGAGACCCGAAGAAAGAGACACAATCAGGACTTATTTCAGCCCCATGAATTTGATCTGAATTGGATAGGTTTAAAAAATATTATTACAGTTGAAACTCTTTTAAGGAGTCTTTTTTGTTCCTAGTTCTATTCAGGCAGAGGAATACATTATGAAATATCCACACAATCTGGATTATTTGTAAATATATAAGCTGCATATTTGCCCAATTTCTAAAAGTTTGTGTTAACAGTTTTGAAACTTCTCAGAATAAAGAAAATGTTCAGAATCAGGAGTCAATGATAAAAAGCGTTGACTTGAACTTTTACTAACCAAATATTTTTTCCCATCATAATTTACTAAATAATTTTTTTTAGAAATTTTAGAATTTGATTCTATTGATTTTGTTTTTGTTCCATTTTGTCTTTTATATCTATGAAGTGTGCCCATGAAAACTACAGACCTCTCTTATCTTTCTAAGTACTTGCACTATCAGTAACTTATTAAATCAGATTTTTCAGGTTTTGCCTGTATGTTGTACAAAAAGAAAACCATGTGTTATATATGTGATATGTCTTCTACCAAACACAACTTACAGTGGCTCTCAACACACTTCTGATACATCACTATATATAACAACAATATACCATGACAAATCATTCAAACCTTTATCTGGTTTGTTTATACTTACATTAAATCAATGTTATTGTTTATACAACTTCTGCTCCAGTTTCAAATTAACAACAAAAAAGAGATTTCTCCTAAACTGATCAAATTAAAATATAAAGGCTGTCAGGAGGCTGGCAGCAAGTGTTAACTGCAGCAGTTCCTTGTTAAAAATGGTTGTGATCTACATGTAAAAACTGTGCTTTGTTTTCTTTCCAAATAAACCCTTTTTCTTTTTCAGCAAAAACAAATTTTAACCTTTCGCCGCCCCCAATTCCAGGACAGAGGTATGACTCAAAAGCACCAAATAACAAACACCACTATACTCACAATACAAGAAAGGTGGTGACTGAACCGTGATTCAAGTTACTTTCCATGTCTTACCAGATCTTTTTTTTTTTTGACTCTGAACTAATTCATTAAGGTGAACAATGGCTGTTCTAAGAGTAGAAGAATCCAAATATAAAATGCACAAGAGGGACATTTGGAAACAACAATGTATAAAAATAACAGCTGGTATTTATGCACCCCCGTTTTTTTTCATTTACTTATTTGTGATAGTTTACATTTAATTTCAATAAACTGATGCTTGTGGTTATAAGTTTCAAATTATATGAATAGGTGTCTTTATTTGTCACAATTCTAGCGATAACAATAACAGAAAAACACCAACATTTTTTATTTTTTTTTTTGTCATTACACTGTTACAAGTACAGAGCAACGAAATGAACTCTCTGTATTTAACAAAACCCTATGGGGAGCAGTGGGAAGCCATTGTGCGGCGCCCGGGGGAGCGGTGTGGGGTTAAGGGTCTAGCTCAGGGACCCACGCTCAGATTACTCTGGATGGAGTCTTCTATTCATTGGATCCATATGTTTTTACATCGAGAATATCCTTCAAAATTGTTTCTTTCAAATATAACACTCTGTCCTATATTAAATACCTGATTCGCTCTCAGATTGTACAATTTTTCCAATATAACTGAAACTAAATGGAAACCAAAGGCGCTTTCGTGTCAGTGCGCACTCTCCATGTGCCTTTAAAGGGCGCGCGCTGGAGCTGAGCTGAGGGCGGACCCTGTTTGGCGCGCTTGCATGTCTGCGTGTGCGCGCCTCTTGCCCGCAGCCGCCGCGAGTGGCACAGAGCAAATAGCGGCTTTTGTGCGCATGATGCACCGTGCTGGACGCACCTGAGAGAAGCTATAAAGGAAAAAAAAGCGCTGCTTCAAACTGGATCCTGGATATTTTTTAAAGCGTAAAAAAGAACAAAAGTGGCTCCATGTACATTTGATAGCTGGATCTAAGCAGGTGGATACTTTGGGTCTGTTGAACTGAGGTCAGTATCGCCGTCTGTGTGAGTTCAACCTGTTCCTGTAGTGTCCGCCTTCGGAATGGACGTAGAGGAGGAGAGGAAGCAGGGAAGGCTTGTGTTTCAGCTCCTGACGGACAGGTGCATTACAGGACTTTACTGGAGTTTTTATCCATTTTATCCAGTTTTTACGCGCAGACTCGGAGGATGTTTGCGGGTCTCCTTAAAGGAAAGGCGACATTTTGGGGTTAAAATAGAGAATTTCTGCCATTTTGGCCTCTAATGTCCTTTTGACAGGCAAGAGTAGAATTACAGACCTGCGCTGTCCTTATTGTTGCAATATGAATGAGCAACTAGATCTCTTTTTTTTGGATAATTAACAAAATGCAAACATTGCAGGGCTTATAGCCCTAAATGTTTAAACGTTTGTTTTATTAGAAATATGAATGTATTGAAAACGAAAAAGATAGAAAGGCGGATTTCCTCAGAATTGATTAATAATAAATCATATGCTCGCCAGGTGTCCAGTTTCCACGCATTGTTTTCTCACATTGTTCTCGGCTGCAGCCGCGTGTTGAAATGTCACGCACGTTCCTCGTGGACTCGTTAAATATTGATGCATATTTTTGTGTAATTCGACCAGCTTTTCTTTTTTTTCCTTCTTTTTGGTGCATGACCTTGCGTTTGCGCGGTGATGGACAGCAGTGACCGTTGCATTCTTCCATCATACCTCCAGTTTGGAAAAAAAAAAATAAATAAATGAAATTCGTTTCCTTCTTCACATTCATCACACCAGTTAACTAAAAATAAATAAATACATGAATAAATAAATAGATAAAACGTTTTTTTTATTTTGACACTTTATGTTTTACCATTAATGTGAAGGAAAAAATGAAGCAAAACGGGTTATTTTTAACCAAAGAAATTCACAGATTCGTGGAAAAGAATAAAAAAAAAACATTTTCGTGACCAGACAAACGATTTAAGGGGGGAAATCTCTACGATGTTCGGATGAATCGGGATGATTTGGGTTCCCAGTTGGTCAAATGGCGTCTGCAGAGGGGTTCGTTTAAACGCTCCCCCTGGATTACATCCCATGCTGCGCCTTTACGCAGACGCCTTCCCCTGTTACTTCAATTCATTAGATGTGAAGGTTTTGGCTGCAGCTTTCATCTTTGTCACCTTCTTTGCGATGGAAATTGCAAAATTTCCCATTAATTAGCAGAATATTTGGCTTTTCTGTTGCCGACAAATATGAGGCCTTACATGCAGTAAGCCTGAGAAATAAAACAAATAATAATAATAATAGGCAAATAAACGGGCCTGAATCTGGAGTCTGCCTCTTTACAGCCATATCCAGGCTGATGTTGAGTTTTCATCTTCAGATTTACGAAAAAAAAAAAAAAGGCGGGTTTTCCGTTTCTCTTCTCCATCGCTGCAGAGTTAATAGGATTAAAAATGATTCCTGTGCGTTTTATGCAAAGATGGGTGTATGGGGGGAATTCCTAATCAGGATTTTTTTTTGTCCGTCTTTCCAATTCGCCTTCAGAATGGGCGTGACCCGTGTCTCAGTATTTATTTATTTATTTTTAGTCCATTTCTATGTAGGCTACTTTATCTTCAAAAGGCCCAAATGTTCCTTCACCTAATAAGGACTAAAACGTTTTTAAAACACAGTCCCTCAGGGGGAGGGAAGTATGGAATGATCTTCTATTTTTTTAGACAAAAAATGCAAAAATAAAATCAATCTAATAGATATCTGATTTAAATTGATTTGTCTTTTTTTTTTTTTTTACTGTTTTTCTTGAGCAGGAATTTCGCCTTTCCTGTTTCTCCTCTGCTTTTCTGAATTTGGGATTATGGTCAGGTTGGAGGGGTTCAGGGACAGCATGGACTTTTTAGTTCAATTCAGGCTTTTTAATGTATTTATTTTTTCCATGTCTGACAGCTGATTAACTGCTCTGACAGATCAGCCGCAAAAAAAAAAACAAAAAAAAAAAAAACCAAAAAAAAAAACCAAGGGCTCTCAAGGTAACACTAATCCTCCTGGGCGGGGACAGACTGATACTACGCAGGATTTTTTGGAGAATGATCTTTTCTTTCTCCTCAGTGTCTCAGATTTCAGTGTGGAAAAATGCGCGGGCCTACAGTGGATATTTTCCACGCTGTGTTAATCTGAATAAAAATCCACTCTGATTGCATTGTAGTATTTTCCTTTTTTCAGTTTTTAATCAAGTAATTGGAATACATTCGAATTAAATCTTTCAAAAATTAATAAAAAACAAAACGTGTGATGTTACATAAACTGTCGCTTTTTCTGCTGCTGCTGTTGTTGAGCAGGAACGTGTGCGTGGATTTAACTCGTGCTTGTGGAAAATTGTTTTTTTTGCTCGCCTGCAGTCATTTGTGGAAACGTTCGGTCATTATTATGGCGGGAGCAATTATCTGTTTAGCGCGTGGAAGCGTGGGTGCGTGCGTGTGCAGATGTTGTAAGCGTGCGCTTTGGCGCGTGGGTGGGTTCGAGGTGTCTCTGATGATGTAATGCAATGAAGGGTGCTGCAGCCCGGAGAAGGTGTGTCCTGCCTGCTGAGGAGCTGGAGAACAGCTCTGTGCCCACGCTGCATCGCCATCACGCACGCACTCACACTTACAAACATCCACGCATCCCTCCCCTCCACATCTCCCTGTCTGTAATTAGGACATTTTTAGTTGTGCTCGTCCGTTTTTTCCAGCATGAAACTAAAAAATAGGGAAAAAAACAAGATTGATGGTTTGTTTCTCGTTGGATGGATGTAAACTAAGCATTTGATTTTAATCCCTTCCCATCCCTTACAGACATGCAGTAATCGGTTGGTTAGCGGCTCTCTATTTCATGTTCTCCTGCAAACTGAGTTCATTTAATCCTTATCCTCTCATTTTACTATTTACCCTAATAGTATGTGCGACAAATTTCATCATTGGAGTCCTTTACATAAAGTGCAGCCAAAAACACCCTCAGCCCCCACAACCCCTCTGACAGAGAGGGATGTTTCCATCATCAATTATAACATGAAGTCAGTGAGTTAAATGTTGGTTCTTTAAAAACTGAAATTAAATAGAAACATTTAAATACATTTCTACTGTGCTGATAATATTGCATTTAATTAGAAACAAACTGTTAAAATAATTGTTTTAATATAAGCATAGGGATCCTAACAGCAGCATCCACATACAATTTGCCCCTTAGAAAATACTATCTCAAAATATAAACATGAAACGTTTGAAATGATATGTGCATTTTCTAATCACTAAGGCAATTACCTTTAGATTCTGCTTAAAGCATTTTCTTTACTCAGAGCCTTAAGAAAATTACATAATTCAAAACCTTTACAAAGAAAACTATTTTTTTTTTTTTTACAAAAGAGATATCAGAAGGTATTAAACAGGAATCCCATTTGATTTTTTTTCTCACATAGAGAAGAAAAAAGACATGCAGAGTTTAGATTTTACTTAATTTCACACCTGCAAATCGCAAATTTTCAAGTAATTCTGTTTTTTTTTTACCTAACTAAAATGGGAATAAAAGAAAACTAGGCCCAAGGCTCTTTAAAAGACATACTAGTTTTAAAGCCAACAGAAAATTAAAGAAGACTAAAATAACCTTTACCTTAATCTGACTTTAATTAATTCTACAAATTGCATTCAAATACCTACTGAGAGTTGATGTTTTAATTTTGACCAGTTAAATAGACTTTTTTTTGTCACATTTCAAATTCAAGCAAGACAAAATATATAAACAAACTTTGACACAATATCATTAAAACAAATTATATGAAATTATTATTATTATATCATTGAAAATAACTGTAAGGAGATGGTAGTTAAATAAGCAGCTGATTAACTATTTTTCCAGGAAGGTATAGATATGGCAATAGGTTTGTGAAGATGCACTGAACAGGCTTTTTATGGCCAATATTAATTTCCATTGTTTTACCAATTAAGGTATTAATTGGTCAAAATCTGACAAGAATAACATAAAACAGAAATACCTGGGCTGCAGGTTGTTTAAAAGGTAGTCATTTTGTAATTGAAAATGAAGGACTTACAATATGATCAATGATAAACACATCAAAGCACGTTTTTCCTTCCTTATCTGATTTCTAACAACCTCAACCCCTAAAGGGCATTAAGGGACGCCATTCTTCTTTGTCTGAAATTTAGTTAATATATATATATATATATAAAAAAAGAAAAACAGATTGGAAACCATTAAAGCCAATTGACACTGATAAATACTGATAAGACAACCCCCCCTTCCCATATTTTTTGATGTGCCCATTTTTTAACAATCGAGCAAATGTTTTACAAAAAAACAAGAAAACACATCTGATTTATATTGAAATGCTCAAACATTACAAACATATTTTATTCAATGTTTACTCTGCTTCTAAACCCAGCTCAGTAATTCCTAGCTCTGAGAAAAACACCCTTAGGTACTTAGTCTCTTATATCATATTATGTGTTAAAGTTAGATTAACAGGTAAGTTGACTTTATGTTTGATTCAAAACCTCTGCTGATAAGATGGATTCATTTGAACAAAGTGTTCTGTGTTTATTCAGATTTAATGTCTTCGTTTTGCAGAGTGTAATGGCTGCAGATGGAGGCTCACATTCAGTCATTTAATTTAGTCAACTTGAGTTAAAAACACAAACATTCCATTAAATTCAGATGCTTATAAAATCATAAAATTAGCAGATTTTATATTTAAACATTGGAGCATGTCTTTGTTAACAAAATAAATAACCTTATTCAGATTTTCAACCATCTTCTCATCCTGAGGATAGATTTTAAAATTTTTTTTTTGGGCTGATTGACAGACTGATAATCGAAGGTATCAGTGTGGAGGATGTAAAAAAAAAAAAAAAAAAAGTCTCCTCTACCACAAACAGACTGATCTGAGCCTAAAATGGAGACTGGATGCTGAAGGTGGTTGTCTGAGGTGTGAGGAAGAGTGGGAGTGGATAAGGTGGAGCATTCCACCCTCTCT